AAACAATTTCACTTATATATATGGGTTATTTTGTGTGATAGATTTCTCAGTTTGAATAAACCACATCTCAAATGCAGGAGTTATAATGTAGGAGAACTGGAGCACAATCTTTCAATGGCAAAGAAGAATGAGATTCGATACTTGACTGGTATGCTTGAAATGGTGAGTAATCTAATTTATATAGTATTTTTAAACGACAATCATCATTGCTTTCATGTGGCTGTTCAATTTATGAATGAACATACGGACAGATAGAAGGTTTGTTGTTAATTTGTTGAAGTTGAAGGTCAGCTAAAATTTGTTCTTTGTGTTTTGTCGAGCGATGGTTTTCCTTTGACTTGGTTTCAATTGCTTTTATTCATTCTCCATAACTGTTCTCTTTTGGTTACTTTTTTGTTTTAGTCTAGTTAGTATACCATATCTTTTTTAGTGGTTTTCTTTCCTCTAGAATTGATTCACCATTCTTCTGGTTAAAGAACTGCATATTCCTAATTGTTGACTGGTGCTTATAGGAACTAGGGTAAACTACAATGACCTCCTTGAAGTTTGGCCTAATTGCAAATAAACCTGAGGTTTGCAATTTTTTTTGCAAAGACCTCCCAATGTTAGATTTTGCAATGAAGTTACTTATCTAACCTCATTATTATATTATTAAAAATATCAAAATAACTAAAAATAAAAATGACTATTTTACCCCTGTAAACAGAACCACACAATTATATGTATTCTCACTAATTGATTATATATATATATATATATATATATATATATATATAATACACACATAAACAGACCCATTAACCAAGCTTCATCACCACCACTGCTCACCTCCTTCTCACTGCTGGCAGTGTTGTCACCACTAAGTATACGATGATTACTACTTACTAGTTACTTAATTGACCTGTGGTCTTCTGGCCCTCCTCTTTGTAGCGATTCCAATTGATTCACAACCCCAATTTTAGGATTAGGGTTATATTGTATCCATATATATACACATACTCACATGGTATAAGAACATGGACAGACCGCTACAGCGATTATTCCGACTCTCATCGCAGCACGCACTTTGCGACGTCATCTCGTTCTGTCACCAAACCTGTTTCTCGCCATGACTAGAACTACGACAACAATTACGGCGGTAGTTTCTCCGGCGATGGTCACCGCCCACCACCATCACAGCAATTCCAATGGCGAATGTTTGTGGCTCTGCAATCGGTATCCGCGATGATGGTGGTGTTGGGTTCGATTACGGCATTGCAATCGGTGCTCCATAACAGAAACATCAACCAACCTCGGGGAAGAACATCCAAAGCCGACGGCGACCAATTGCACAACAACATTACCAACTGCAAAACCCAAAATCGATTGATGAAAATAAAAACCTTCACCAACTACAGATGGTGGTGGAGGGAGAATGGAAAAAGAAGAGAGGAAAGAGGAGAGAGAAAAAAGGATTTTAGTGGTGACGGTGGTGGTGATGGGTTTTATTTTCATTTGGGTTTCTTTAATGGTATAAGTAGTTAGGGAACAAAGAGAGGAAAGAGGAGAGACAGAAGATTTGGTGGTGGTGGCGGTGGTGCTTGGTGGTGATGGTGGTTGGTTTCGATTTCATTTGGGTTTCTTTAATGGTAAAAGTTATATAAATATATAAGGGGGAGAGAGATTTTGGTGATGGCGGCGGCGGCGGCGGCGGTGCTTGGTGGTGGTGGAAAATAGGCAAGCTTTAAATTCAAGTAGATCAAGATGGAGACTGAAAGCTTTAGTGACATATACCACCACCGGCAGCAACACCATGCTTTGAGGATGGAGACTTCAATCTTGGTTAATGGGTCTGTTTATGTAAGCAGTAATCATTTTAGAGACAAATTATTCCAAAAAAGCATCATCACCATGTTGGGTGGGTGGAAAGAGAGGGAGAGAGAATTTGTCTCTTGGAATAATTTATTTATTTATTGTTTGTAATTTGATGATACTATAAGGGTATGAGGGTCTTTTACTCCTAGTGGATGTGGGCATTTTGGTCATTTCAAACCAATTTTTTGACAAAAAAGTACTACTTTTTGTATGGAGGGGAGGTCTTTGCAAAATGGGGCAAACCTCGGGTGACCTGTTGCAAAAAAATTGCAAACTTCAGGTTTATTTGCAATTAGGCCAAACCTCATGGGAGGTCATTGTAGTTTACCCTAAAAACTAGGGTACTACCGCTGGAGAAGACCAAGAAATTTTACCAAGTCAATTATAATTTTTTTAAAAAATTTATCTTTGGGTTGTGTTGGTGACCATCTTGGTCAGTCATCCTTTAGGTGATTGTAAGAAATAGTGTTCATCCATTTGAGCTGGTTATTATTATCATTGGCTTGCATTGGTCAGTCATCCTTTTAGATGCTTAATTTCTTTGTTTTAAATTATTTTGGGTGTTTTACCATGTCTTGTAAATCAAGATATGGCAGGAAAGGATATTCCCTTCAAAAAAATATAAGTGGGTTAATGTTTTTCTGTTTTTTGGTGGATTGTTCGCCCACAATAGGGACTCGAACCTTCAACTTTCCGAAAGGAGCGCTAAATCTTTCTAGAGCTTGACATCTGCATAAGTTCATGTTTTTTTTATTTTTTTTGGGGTTGGGGTCAACCTTCCGAAAGGAGCACTAAGCCCTAGGTCACTTGGGTTCATCTCCATCTTGCTAGAGCTTGATATCTGCACAAGTCTTGAAGGCTTTAGGAAAAATCAGATGGGCCAGGCAGGTTCCTACTTGACCTTCCCTGACAAGTGTAATGCTAAAATAACTCGGCTAGTCTCAATTTTATTTATTTTTATTTATTTATTTATTTATTTTTTTTGTAATGCTAAAGATTCTGCTGCTCAAATTGGAGTTCCATGTATGTGCATTATACCGACCAACCCTGATCTGATGAGCAGCATTCCATCTTGTCTGAACCAATTGCTGCAGCTTTGAGAGCCCCTTAAATTATTCTCGGTTTTGTTATAAGGGAATTTATAATGCTCCACCAAATGAAGAGATGGTTCATGATAAATGGTCAACTATTCTCAACACTACCCTGTTTTATCAGGCAGAGGAACAGAGAAGTGTTATCAGAGCTCGTGTTGAACAAATGAAGAAAGAAAGGCAAGATTTCTCAGTTGATGCAGGTGCTCTCGAGAAGGTGCTATATGTATATCATTTATGTGACTTTTTTTTTTCCTCTCTCCATGAAAATTATTTTCCTGAAATATGGCATGGAGTCTTCATGATTTATTGAGCGGCGAACATCTTATATGCTAGTTTCCCTTGTGCAATCTTTTGTAGTTGAAGACGAGGATGTTGAATTACGGCACATGCAACAGCACTGGGGCTCCATGATCCGAAATTACCTTGAGGCATGTTTCTCACTGTACTGGTAGAACTGCATCCTTGTTGGTACCCGGATAGAATGGAATGGTTGAACCTCTTCTTACATTCTGCATATAATCTGAACCTGAAGGGCACTAACTTTAATAATCATTTGAGAATTTATGGAAACTCGTACATCTTGCATCTCATATTCATGCGCAGGACCAAGATAATGTTATTAACAAATATTCTGCAGCGTTTTGTCTTATCATGAAACCAGGATTAATATTAAGTCATCTTTACATAAGTTAATCCATTAGTGCCGAGAAGCCATAAGAAAATAGTTGAAAACTCAAAATATTTGGTGCAGCTGTTTAAAGATTTCAGGCTTGCTTTTCTTTCCTTTTTTAAGCTAATTATCGACAACCACTATGCTAGGAAGACTCCAAGATGCAGCAATTATTATTATTTATTTTTATTTTTATTTTTTTAGTTGGTACTCACACACTTGTTTCTTCTAAAACTTGACTTCCCTTTGAGAGGTAAGAGATTGATACTGCTAGGCTACTGGCCCGTTGGTAAGCAGCAATTGTTTTAGATTCCTTACCATCTCGAAGTTTACTAAACATGAACTACTACGAATTCAGTTGTAGATGATCTTCATTGTGTAACCGGGATGCTTGTTTGTTGGAGAAATGACGCTTGTTTCTGTCCCTCCGTGGAGAATAGATGCAGTTAGTTAAGCACAGCTTGTACCCGTGCTAGACTTTGAATTTGAAGTCCACACAGAAGTAATCCTCTCTAATGGAAAAGAAGCTCATATAACCCAAATAGATGCCACAAAAGTTTTGGAAGTGCATCCAAACGAACAATTGAAGAAAAATGAAACTGCAGTTTTGTTAGATTGTATGTCCTTATTGTAATATTGGTCTTGTATTTGTGGTGGTTTATTTATTTATTTTTTATTTTTTTGACTTGGCAATGGTTAGTAGTGTTAAGGAATAAGAAGTTAAAAGGAGGAGGGGAAATGATGCTGGTGAGTTTTGAACACGGATTAAAGGTCCCGAACAATACACATTCTACAGTTGGACTAGCACTGCACCTAGGGGAACCAATTTATAGAAATGGTTTTAAGTAACCAAGTTTGAGAAGTTCTATAAAATACATATATGGAGGTCCATGAATTGAAGGAGAAAAAGGTCTAGATTTTATGTTGCATTCCCCTTTTGATTGGACTCCCACTGGGATTTTTTCTTTTTTAAATAATGACCAGAAAGCTATTTCATAATGACAATAAGGGAATTAGATTGGATTGAATCAACTTGGATTCTCCCAATTTTATGTTATTTTTAATAAAACAAGGGCTGTATGTTTTATTGGACAACAACGATAACGGCATGTGGGAAAAATTTGACTTGAGTTTCAAGTGCTTTGGTTATAGTACATTATATATATATATATTTTTATATTGAATAAAATAATCAAATGACATCGGTAATTGTTTCTAACTTATTCTCATGTACTTTTTCTTTTCTTATTTTTTATTTCTGATTTTTATGCCAAAATTAAAAATAAATAAATAATTTAACAATAAGAAGCCTAGAGGCGAATGAGTTATCCCATACTATAATAATTTATAAAAACACTGTCAAAGAAGAAATTATAATGGTTGTAACACTTTAAGTTATATAAAGCGAAAATGAGGGTGGAATTCAAAAGCGGGAGCGTGAGAGTGGTATAATCATAATTAAGTCATAAATAGTGAGAATTTGAACGAGTTTGTGAAGCATAAAAGCGAGAATGCGTTCGGAGTGTGATAGCGACACTTGTTAAGAAGAATTGTGTGACTTAGGTGACAACAGTAACCGATCAATAAAAATACTCTATTAAAATAAAGTAGTCTCACAACAGATTAGTCAAATTATTAATAAAGCCAATCAATTTGTTTTAATAAAGTGCCGCAATTTCTAAAGTTACCCACGACCCAATTTTTTCTGGAAGAAAAATAGAAAAGAAGAAGAAGAAAAGAAGAAGAAGAGGTCTATGACACTTGGCCAGTTAAAAAAAAAAAAAGGCCCATTAGGGCACGACCCTAACTCAAGATAAACAACAACCAACAGGTGCCCAAGTTGATTCAACCCGACCTAATTCCCTTCTCTGTATCTTCTTCTCTCCAGCTTATAGCTCGAATATAGGTCTGTTTGTCAGTCGCTGAGCTCTCTACAAAGCTCATCATAAATCATCAACCTAGGTCGATTATGGTTGGGGGTTGAACCGTTTCTCCATCAATATTTCTGGCTGAGTATTTATTTATTTATATATGAAAGATTAGGCTTAAACTCCCAGAATGAGTACCTCGTTGAAGAAGAGTAAGAGTCCAGGAGGTTATGGAGAGAGTTTTGATAGATTCAGCAATATTCCTGATAAATTTTTCATGAGATTCTCCGCCTCTTTCCCATCAAAGACATTGCTCGTACCAGTCTCGTCTCCAAAAGATTCAGATTGGTCTGTCTGTCTGTCCCAGATTTGTTTCTTGATTTTGAATCGCACGATCTATGGAAGGTGGGTTATTGGACAGGTAAGTTTTTCAATATGCATAATGGGGCGAAATTGCGACGTTTTGTTCTGAAGACGAATGATGATGATACTTATTATCATCGTGCATGCAATTGGATTCTCAATGCTACGGTGATTTGTGAAGCGGAAGAGCTCCATCTATCATTTAAAATGCTGTCGGAAAAATGCTTTTTTCTATCACCATCCACCTTCGTAAGAGTGATCAGATTGAGATTTTACCACTCCATTCTCAAACTGCCCTCCCCTACAAACAGCAACAGATTCAGTTCGCTCCAGGTTTTGGACATAAGAGGCATAAGACTTGATCCTCAAAACATATCTGATGATTGGGTTTCGTCTCTCTTTCCGGTTTTTAAAAAGTTAAAGCTGCAAGAGGTGGAAGAGATAAGCAATCTCAGTATCACAAGTTCTTCTCTTGAATGCTTAAAAATAGAGGAGTGTGCCTTTTGCATAGTAGTTGTGTCTGCCCCTAGACTCCAGAGTCTAGGTGTGGTGATATGCTATACTGATCGTGAATTCGACCTGCCACCGGACGATTTGTTATTTAGAATTTATGCACCCAGCCTTCAAAAATTCAGTTGGATTGACGACCATTATGTCCTCAATGGGAGCTCTATGTGCCTACCAACTGCGAGCATTGATGCTCCAAGCATTATATGGAGTTCTGCTACTAACCAAAACGAAAACAAAAACTTGCTTCTGCTTCTTCAATTTATAAACCATGCCAAATCAGTTACACTAAGCTTCGTTTATTCATGCAAGGTACTTGCTTTTAGCTATAAGTACTCTCATTCTCATTCCTGTTTTTTCTTTTATTTATGCAACACACAATTCAACTTAATATATATATATAGCGAGGGTTTTTATTTGTTGCATATCTCTCTCTCTCTCTCTCTCTCTCAGACAGCAACGTAACAATTCAACACCTGTTGCACCAATTAATATTAAAGCTGACTTTAATTTCAGGACTGGTTTACACAAGATTCGCCACGGTATATGTTGGATAATGTGCAAAACTTGGAAGTGTTTTGTCAGAATTTTCGTGAAATGTCTACATTGGCCTCCTTTTTTGGAATATTGTCTAATCTGAAGACCCTGACCATGAGATGCATGGACCGTCGATGTTCTGCAGTAATGTTGCTATTCAGTAGTTTTTCTTTGCTTTTCTTCTTGTTTGCCTCATTTTTTTTTGTTTTTGATATCATTGCTTTTCATGTTTCAGTCAAACATGTTGTTGGCTTCAGAGACCCATGATTTTGATATAGAGTACTGGGAGTCTCAAGATGTTGCATTTATTCATCAACTGAAGGAAGCGAATATTAAGGTTCATCATTCCGGATTGGAAGTTGGATTGATAAAATATTTGATCAAGCACGCAAAAGCACTAAACAGGATGACTGTCACTTTTGCAAGCCATTTTGATATTAGTAGATTAAGGAGGGTTCGAGAAAAGTTATCAGAATTCTATGAGACCTTTTCCGATGAAACATTAGATTTTGTGTTGAATTGAAGCTGTTAGAAAATTACTTTTATATTAGTTATATTTCTGTAAAGTTAGAATTTCAAGGTATTATGAGAACTTAGGTTTACACTTTTTTTTGAGAAGAATGATGCTCTACTAAATTGCACTCATGTTATCGACACTTGGATAGAAAAAATATATTAGCTAATGTCATTTTTCATCATGATACATGCTGGTTTGATATAGTATTACCACTATGTTTCCAATCAATTCCTTTTTCAATAAATTTTATTTTATTTTTTATTTTTTTGATGACTGCTTCTTTTGGAGGGAGTTAGACTAACGTGGACAAAAAAGAAGAAGGAAGAAACTATCTGGCAATTTCTGTCTACATAGATGATCGCTACCGACAAAGGAATTCGGCAAAGATGCAATTATGTGCATTTGATGGCAGAATCAAGGAGACAACTTATGGGAAAATTTGAACTGTCACCTAGATCATCAAATTGATGCCAATTCAAATTTGCATCAACTGAATCTTCAGGTGATTGAAACACAGTGAAATTATTCAGCTAGTGAACATATATGTTATCATTAGCAACATAGGTAAACTATGCTTCCGAACTTCTATGTTTTGGTGATCTCTGGGTTGAATGCAAAAATAATGGAGTGATGTTTTTGTTCTAAATTTTCAATCACCCAATTGAACTTGCAAAGTATTTGTGGTGATTGCAGGCAATTTCTGGTGTCTGCTGGCTGTGATCAGTGTTAAAGAATGTGTAATATGATATGTCCTACTCAAATTTCAGGTTTCTTTGAGGCTGCCTGGCCTTTATTAATAATGGTATCATAGTCTTCTTACAAATGAAGCTGTAGGATTTGTTAATCCAGAAAGACCTGCATAAACTAATATATAGACTATTCTTAACTTATATATAGTATATACTCAGACTTGCGCTCAGTCCTATTATGCTTGAATAATTATTAGGAGAATTATTTTTAATTTAAAGAATAAAAATCCAAGTATATGTTTTTAGAATAGACCCTTCCCAAGATTTTCCCTCGTCTTTCATCTCTTTCCTTCCCTCATTTTTAATTTTTCCTTCTTTTGAATATTTTCTTCTCCCGCTCTTAGCCTGCCTGCACGTTCAGCCATACACTTTCTTCTCTCAATTCTCAGGCTCCCTGTCAACTTCACCCTTACCAAAACCCTAAATCTCGATCTAGAATTTTCGTTATCGATTGGCTTGCAAGGCTCGCTCTCTCAAAAACCCTAGTCGCAGCAACATCAATTGCCTTGATTATGAATTGTAATCGTACGCAGATCTACAGATTTTGATTGGTGAGGAAAGGTAAATCCCTCTATATGCATGTATGAATCTGCATATTTGCGTATCTAAGAGTTAGTATTGCTAGATTACTAATTATTATGAGTCCAGAATGTTGACTTTTCTATAGATTCAATAGGACATTCAGATTTCTTGTTTCTAATATAACAACAATTGTTCTGAAAAAATTTCAGTTTCTCATGCATGCTGTGAACCACTGTTGTTTTTGTGTGCTATCCGAGGATTTTTTGTATTGTTGCGCATTTGCAGTGTCTATCATGTATTCAATCTGTTTCATGTTTCACATGGTGTCTCAAATTTTAATTCAATGAACCGGACATGTGGAATCACACTCTTCAATTGGCCTTTCCAATTTTCTCTCTCTTTTTTTTTGAAAGGTATTTTTTCTTATTCTTATTGCCCAACTCTTAATACTCTACATTCTTCCAGTCAGTCTAGCAGCTTTGGGGATGGAGCAAACAAGTCAACTTCCTCAGGATTAAGGCATTTAAATTTGAAGAATTCATTCAAGCTGGGTATTCATTCTCTGCTAACAACATGTTTGAAGGAGGTGATTAATGTTGGTTATATCTTGCTTTCCCATTTTATTTTATCTATTTGCACATATTTTTTGCCTTTGTTTTTACTTTTAAAGAGAGGTTTCTAGATTCAGCCGGCTTTCTTGCAGTCTCTCTAAGAAAAGAATATACTTTGGAGCCTTCTCTTACTTGCACCTTCTCTACTCAAGTATTGGTCTTTTATTTAATTAATAAGATGTTAATATATATATATATATATATATATATATATATATATATATATATATATTAAAAGGTGACACATACATGAAATGTTTGACTAATAAGCAATGGAAGTTACTTTAATTATTTATCATAATAATGGTTTAGTTCTGGGAAGGATAAGTTGAATCTAAAATTTGTATGACGTCACTATGTGCGATTTCACCACACTAGGGGCGACTCGTGGGGCGATTTGTGTTTTATTAGGTTGGGATGAAATCCTTTATGGAAATTGCAAGATTACCAAGAATCTCGCTTGGTGGGGAAGTGAAGTCGGCAGTTCCTCACCGAGGACCGTCGTTGTATATTGACGGGGAGTCCGTCGGAGGAAGGAAGTCAGTCCTCTCCTCTTGTTTGGTCGGAAGATTTGATAAGGAAGTAGGGAGCTGTGATCGTGTGAAAGAATGGGCAGCGCGGGCTTGGAATACGACTTGTGGAGTGGGGGTAACACCGTTATCCGACTCACTACTTCTTTTCCGGTTTCCTTCTCAGGCAGAGGCCAAACACGTGTTGAAAGAAGGGCGACGACAGTGGGGTTTTGCAACTTTTAGGATCGACGTGTGGTCCTTTTGTGTTGGGTGTTGTGGCATTCTCAGTGATCAAGGTCTCAAGCAGATCAGGTTGTTTGGCCTCCCATTGCATCTCTGGTGTCATGCTTTGTTCGTCGAAGTGGGAGAGCTTTGTGGAGGTTACGTGAGATCTGATGCGGATGAGACTAGGGATGCCGAAAGCGTTCGGATAACAGTGCGATCCGGTCGTGATTGTACGAAGTTCGTGTTTATTAACGACGACACCTTCTGTTTTAAGGTCGCGATTTGGGAAGAAATCTCACTGGAGCTTGTTCCTTCAACGGAGAGTCTTGAAGGTAGTGACAGATCTCATCTTATGTCAGAAGAGAAATGGAATGAGATTCTTAGTAAAGGAAAAGAGGGGGTTCTCGAAATTTAGCAGTGGTTGAAGGATCGTGAAATTCAGCAAGCAGTGAAGTTCATAGGAGGTAGACGACGAAGTGATCTTCACGCGCCGGCCAAACGCGTCGTTGATGAGCAGAGAAGGAGTACACGTGGAGATCGACGGGGTACTTCTTCAGATTCGGCTTTATCCTTATCTCTTGATGATAAGGTAGGGGAGGATTTGTCTTTTTGGGTTGAGGATGGCGGTGTGATGGGCCAGAAGATGTCAAGACAGGCCAAGAGGACTGGGCCTGGTTTTAATCTTGGGCTCATTCAGCCTAAACCAAACAGAGCGCATTTTGGTTCTGGGCCTTTTCGACGGGTATAGAAAGGGCCGCTTAGATTCGGGCAAAGTGGGCAGATTCAGGTTGGGCCTATTAGTTCTGGGCCTAATAGAAGGGTGCGAAGAGGGCCTAACTTTTTATTTATCTCTTTCCCAAACTCTAAACCTGGCCCTAAGCCATTTAAAGAAACACAAGCCTATGCTAAGCCTTCGACTCATTTGCTGAAACCCGAGCGTAGGATGATGGACGTCGGACGCCATGGATCTCGGTGGACTAGGACTGAAAAACAAAAATGGGTTGCACGATCTCACACTTCTTCTCCAGGTTTGAGTTCTGATCTTTCTCTAAATGCTCTCTCTACTTCTACTTCTTCTTCTTCGGGTGGAGTGGTAAGTAATAGGAATGTTGTGGAGGATGTTTCGAATCAACAGAGGAGTCTTTTTGGGTCTTCCAGTTCATGGTGTGATGGGTCAGAGTTGGATGTTTCAAAAGTCACAACTGGGAGTGTGGGTTTTTTCAATGGTGTGACAGTTTGCATTGGGAAAGATCTGCATTTCAAATTGAATAATGACTCAGTTGTAGCTGTGCTTAAATAGCTTCGGCTCTTTGCTGCAATTGAAGGTTTGAACAGTCAATCATATGAGAATGAGGTGATTTTGTCAATTGAACATGATGCTTCGGAAACAGAGGGGAATATGCAGTTAGGAGTGGTTGATGTCCCTACTCAGGAGCACTGTTCTAAAGATTCTTTTTCTGGGACGGATTTTGATCAATCTGAAGTGGATTTAATGGAACCTCTAGGTATGGAATGGGTTATTGAGAATATTGGAGTAGTAAGTGAAGCTTTGGGTGTCTCTGCAGAAGGTTATGAGGAACAAACCCTGTTTATTCTTTACGAAATTGTTGCAGGAAATGGTAGTACTGAACCTAATCGTGGCACAAAAGAAGTCAAAGTCAAGAATTTCACATCGGAAAGGCGAATAGGAAGTGAAGAATCTGATTTCTTGTGTTAATTATGACGGGAAGAATGGGACGACTAAAGAAAGGGGAAGAACCAGAAGTGGTAAACGGGGAGGAGGAGGAGAATTGATTGTTTTTGGTTCTACATGAAGCTACGACTTATAACATGGAATGTTCGTGGTCTTAATGATCCGAAAAGAAGAAGAGTTGTCAAGGTAGCTTTGAGGAAGTGGAGTGCTCATGTTGTTTGTTTACAGGAAACTAAGATGGCTGCTATCACTGTTGAGATTGTCAGGAGCCTTTGGGGAGGTAGGTTTGTGGAATGGGAAGTGCTGAACGCAACAGACACTTCAGGTGGTATTCTTCTCATGTGGGATCGACGGTGGTTGTCAAGTTTGAATTGTTGGAAGGGTATTTTCTCTGTGTCTTGTCTATTTCAGATGGAGGAAGACAATTTCAGGTGGGTGTTTTCAGGTGTTTATGGGCCTGTTACTGATAGTGATAGACCAGTCCTATGGGAAGAGCTTTGATATGTTAAGGATTTATGGTCATTACCTAAGTGTGTAGGTGGGGATTTTAATTTTGCTAGGTCCCCATTTGAGAGGTCCACAGGGGGCAGGTGGTCTTCAGAAATGACCATGTTTTCAGAATTCATTGATAGTAATTTCCTTATTGACCTACCATTGGAAGGAACGGCCTTTACTTGGTCTAATGGTAGGGAACCAGTTACTTTTTCCCGGTTGGATAGATTTTTGATTTCTGGGGCGTGGGAAGAGCATTTCCCGGATGTCTCTCAGGTTGTGTTGGTTACATAGTTGTTAAAGGCTCAAGGCGCACAAAAGCGCAAATGCCTCCCGGAGCCTGAGGCGCAAGGCGAGGCGCGCGCCCGACTGAACCAAGGCGCACGTTGAAAAAAAAAAAAAAAAAACCCACCCAATAAAGTATTATAGATGCAATAGTATATATAAAGATGCAAAAGTCAACTAAATAAATTACTTATGTTAAATATTCAAGATGCCAAAACCTTGATATCCATGTTTGCTAGATGTAAGTCTACGAACCAATATTAAAATAATATGTATATATATTAGTTAATTTCATTACCCCTGTCCATATATATTCTTGTAAGTTTGTAACTCTGCTTTTCCTGTGGTTTTGTATTTGCACAGACCAGAAAAAACCAAATTTGGTAAGTGTAGACTGATGCACCTTCAACCTTGATCTTATATTGGTGACAAGGTTAATTTAATGATGCAATGAAGACCTGCAGTTGTGTGTGTGAGAGACTGTGCAATTGGGATTACAAGGAATGGGTGATGTGATGATCCAAGTCTGTTCAACTAAAGAAATTTCATGCACAAAGCAGAAACGCATTGATTGTTCTATATAAAGTATGAAGTAAAGAGATTCGGATTATTTTTTTTTGACAAATTTAGGTGAGTAAGCCAACTTCCAACAAATCATTATCTCACTAATTATCATTATTCACTAATTATCGGCATATTAGAAAGATGAGGCAAAATAAATTGTGACACAATTAAGTTGAATCAACGAACTAGATTACTAGAATCCATTAAATCAACAAATTAAAAATATCAGTTACACTCATATATCATTGGGAATATATCCTATTAAATCCACAAAATTAGAAATAGGAAAGTTAAATTAGAGAGAGCCAAGAGAAGAAGAATAGAGGAAAAAAAAAAATAAAAAAAAAAAAATAAAAGAAGAGGAGACTAGAAAGAGCCAAGAGAGAAGAATAGAGAAAATAAATAAATAAATAAATAAAAACGAAGAGCCTAGACTCGGCTCAAAGAAAAAAAAGAAAAAGAAAAATGAGCCTAGACTCGGCTCAAAGAAGAAAAAAATAAAAAAAATAAAAAGAAGAGCCTAGACTCGGCTCAAGGAAGAATAGAGAAAAAAAAATAAAAAAAGAAGAGCCTAGACTCGGCTCAAAGCAGAATAAAATAAAAAAATAAAAAGAAGAGCAAGAGAGTGACTAGAGTCACTAGAGCCGAGAGAAGAAGAAAAACTGAAGAGAAGAAGAAGAAGAAAAGAGAAAAAAAAAAAATTGCCGAGAACTGAGAAGAGAAGAAGAAGCAAGAAGGAGAGAAGAAGAAGAAGAAGAAGAAGGAGAAGAAGAAGAGAGGGAAGGAGAACTTACCAGGCTTCGGCGCAGATGCAGATCTGGCAGATCCAGTCTTCGGCGCTTCGCAGATCACTCGTACTTCTCTCTTCTCTGTCTCTTCAGTCTTGACTCTATTCTTTCCACTTTCCTTTTGCTCTTTTATTCTTTTCTTTTCTTTTCTTTTTTTTTTTTTTTTTTTTTTTATGCTTTTTAACTTGCAAGTTGTGTAGATTTGTAATAAATAAATAAAAACAACAAATAAACAAATAAAAAACAGATACAAGTAACACAACCAAGATAATTAAAAAAAAAAACCCATTTTTCACACAGGCGCGCCTGCATCTCGCCTGTAGCCTTGCGCCTTTGTCTAAGAGGCGCGCGCCTATCCCAAACCACTTGCCTTAAGTCAATCAAGGCGCCAAGGTGGCGCCTGGAGGCGCCTTGCGCCTCAGGCGCGCGCCTTCGGCGCCTTTAACAACTATGGTTGGTTAGAGTCACATCTGATCATGTGCCTTTAGTTCTTGATTGTGGTGGTTTGAGTTCTGGATGTACTCCTTTCCGCTTTGAAAACATGTGGCTTAGATTCGAGGACTTTCAAGGGAAGGTTCAGTCTTGGTGGGAGGAAGCGAATTTCATAGGCTCTGCTAGTTATGTGTTAGCTAGAAAGTTTCAGTTTCTTAAAACTGAGTTAAAGAGGTGGAATAAAAAAGTGTTTGGGAATCTTGAATGGAAGAAGAGTAGAGTTCTCGCTGATATTGCTGAGCTTGATCGTCTTGATGAGGAGGGACAGAGTGGGGAATCATTACGCTCTAAAAGAGCCTCTTGCCAAGCGGTTTTTGCTGAGATTGCTCTTATGGAGGAGATCTCGTGGCGCCAGAAGTCTCGGGCTTTGTGGTTAAAAGATGGGGATCGTAATACAAAATTCTTTCATAGACTTGCCAATGCTCACAGAAGATGTAATCACATCGAGCGTATCCGGGTCAATGGTTCTGAATTGTGGAGGGAGGACGAGGTGCGCGGGGGAATCGCTTCTTTTTATTGGCAGCTCTACACCGAGACTTTGGATTGGAGACCTACTCTTGATGGTCTTCTATTTAATTCTATTTCTGTGTTGGATAGTGATAGGATTGAGATTCCATTCATGGAGGAGGAAGTGTTTAAGGCACTTTCAGGTTGTAACGGGGACAAAGCTCCAGGGCAGATGGGTTTACTATGCGGTTTCTTAAGGAGAGTTGGGAGGTGGTGCGAGCTGAGGTGATGGGCACCTTTCAGGATTTTTATTCTCATGGCACATTTGAGAAATCTCTGAATGCATCTTTTATTGCTCTCATTCCTAAGAAGGGCAATGCCTCTGATATTAAGGACTTTCGGCCAATTAGCTTAATTGGATGTTTGTATAAGCTTATTGCCAAGGTTCTTGTCTCTAGGATGAGTAATGTTTTGGATGGTCTCATTTCAGAATCACAGAATGCTTTTGTTGGTGTGAGGCAGATTTTGGATTCTGTTCTTATTGCAGGGGAATGTATTGACTCTAGATTAAAAAGTGGGGTTCCTGGCATTTTGTGTAAGCTTGATATTGAGAAAGCTTATGATTATGTTAATTGGAAGTTTGTTCTGTATTTGCTTCGGAGGATGGGGTTTGGTGACAGGTGGATAAAATGGATTGAAACTTGTATCTCGTCAGTTATGTTTTCTGTGCTCGTGAATGGTTCACCTGCGGGTTTTTTTGCTAGCTCGCGTGGTCTACGACAAGGAGATCCATTATCATCTTTTCTTTTCCTTATTGTCATGGAAGGTCTGAGCAGGTTAATAAGAAAAACGGAAGATTTGGGTTACATTAGGGGGTTCAGAGTTGGCAGAGATGTTGAACATTAGATGCAGATTTCCCATTTGTTGTTCGCGGATGATACTTTTGTGATGCGGAAGTTTCTCAACTCAGATATCTGAGGTGCATTCTTGCTTGCTTCCAAGCGGTTTCTGGGTTAAAGATTAATGTCGGAAAGAGTGTGCTTGTCCTAGTGGAGATGTTCCAGATATTTCCTCCTTAGCTGTTGTCCTAGGGTGTGGAGTTGGTGCTTTTTCTCTTCCTTACTTAGGATTGCCTTTGGGAGTTTCTTCTACACGAGTTGGGAATTGGGATCCAGTGATTAATAGATATGAGAAACGTTCCTTTTAATCGTGGTCTCTTGGGAAAGTGGTTATGGATATTTGGAATGGAACGCCATCGTTAGTGGAAAAGAGTCGTCTCGTGTCGTTTGGTGAGGAGAGTGGGGGCTGGTCATCTCTTCCAGTCGCTATTATGGGAGGCGTTGGTGTGTGGAAATTCATTCGGAAGGGCTGGGATGTTTTCTCCACACACATTAGATTCAAAGTTCGTGATGGCAGACATGTCCCTTTTTGGGAGGACCTTTGATGCGGCGATCAATTGCTGTCTCACTCCTTTCCTAGACTTTACAGTGGTGTAGCCCATAAGCATGTCTACGTGATTGATTGTTATCATCTAGATAACAATGGAGTTACGTGGGATGTGCGGCTTAGGTGGCCCTTTCAGGATTGGGAAATGGAGGAAGCTTGTGTTTTTTTGGATACGTTGTATAGGCAGAAGGATATTGGCAGAGGGTGTGATGATAGTTTGTGGGTTCCTTTAGCTCATGGTCGGTATGGTGTCCGATCCATGTTATTGTGTTTGTCCAATTTCGTTGGTCACGAGTTCCCTTGGAAGTTTGTTTAGTGTTCTAAAGCTCCTCTTCGAATCGCATTCTTCGTTTGGACTGCCACATTGGGAAAGATTTTGACATTGGACAATTTGAGAAAGAGAGGCAACATCATTGTTAATTGGTGTTGTTTATGTAAAGCTGATAGTGAATCCGTGGATCACATTCTTTTGCATTGTTCCGTGGCATATGATTGTTGGAGTTTATTTTTTGCATGTTTGGCGTTTTTTGGGTAATGCCTAAGCACTCCTCACAATTGATTAAAGCTTGGAGAAGGTGTCCTGTTAAAGAACAAGCTCTTGATTATTGGAGAATTGTTCCGCATTGTGTCTGGTGGTGTTTGTGGCGTGAGAGAAATAACAGATCATTTGAAGGAAAAGAATTGTCTTTAGCTAATTTAAAAATTCATATTCTTCGTTCTTTGTTCCATTATGTAAGAGGAAATGCATGCTCCTCGATTGATGATTTCTTTGATCTCTTGGATTCTATTGGTCCTTGGACCTTTTTTCTTCTTGTATTAGGGACGCGTTCCCCTTTTGAACGTTTTTCTAATATATTTTTACTTATCAAAAAAAATTATTTATCATTACACTCTTTTGTCAATCCTCTCTTTTTATTTACGTAGTATATTTCTGTAGAGATTTTGAGTGTTAGTTCTATATTTGTTTTATTTTTTTCATAAAGGCATTCTCGAAATCATTTCCAAGGTTTACTAATGTTGAGCAAGAAGGTCTCCATTGGCTTATACTGGTATTTCACATGAATTCATATTAAGCTTATAATAAGTAAAAATATTTTTGCTTTTTTTTTTTTGATAAACACACTTTAGGGATTTGAATTGTATAGAACATGACCCTTTGAAGATTTATATTGACATGGTTTTGGTGATTGTCCTTTTGTATAAACTTTCTGGGGATATTGGCAGATTGCTCATGTAAGTTATGTTACTTGGGAACACGAAGGGAAATTAGATCATGGGATTTAGAAAGCTTCTACTTGGGCTTGCTCAATGGGTCTAATAATTATTTACAATTAGTTGGGATTTTGTGATGCAAGCCAAGTGCTTATGTTACTAAAAACCATGTTGTATACAAAGCTTGTTCATTTAAATGCATTTTGTAGTTTCAAGCTTATCTTCGTTGCAATAAACTTAATAAAAAAATCCAGTAGAAAAATTAAATCTACATTTGCTGTTCATAAACTTCTCTGCCGCTGCTGTCAAGTTGTGATACACGGGATACCCTATGACCTGTGTGGCAACTAGCTACATTTTAAATACAACGGCAGAAAGAGTACAAAGAGACAAACATCAGATTCAACCCAGAGTTTGGTCAACTAGAATTTAAGTTCCGATTAATAGTCTTTCTTTTTTGTTTTTGGGTGTTAAGAAGTTGATTGTTTCCTATCAAGAATGGTTGATTGAGAGAGTGTTTTTTCCTTTATTATTTTTTGGTTAATAAGTTGGTTGTTTCCATGCTATGGCTGTGGTGGTAATTTGTATGAGAGAGAGAGAGAGGAAGAGCATACCACTGCCTTGTTACATTGAAATTATGTTGGAGGTAGTAGAAGAATAGGATGAAACACCACCATAATTATCAGAAAATTCAGGCGAGTCACCCCATATGGTTCTCGGCCTGTAAGTGCTGACATCAGCATGACATCAGCGTGTGCACTTTGACAGTCAACCTGCCGATTTACTGAAACTCTCTTTGGATGTGTTCCTGGATTCACAGCCTAGCTCTGATACCAAGTTAGATTGGATAACAGCATGCTTTTGGGTTAGAGAGGAGAAGGAGGAGGAGGAGGAGGAGGAGGAGGAAAAGAGAATTTAGTGCGTGTACATAGTTCTACACACCACCTCTCCTATTTATATTAAGTAAGCAAAAATACAATAATGTCCTTAAACTCTAACAGTGTAGATGTTGTTTCTTGAGTTTGTCTCATTCAATATACTTGCACACCTTTTATCTAGGAATACTTTGCTCATTACTCAACTAACTCTTGTTCTAACATTTTGGTCTTAACTCCACCTAATCTTTCTCCAGTATGATCTGTACAGAAGCTGCAGAATTGCATAGGCCACTCTTCACAGGCCTTTTATACCATGAATACTAAGATCAACAAAGCCTTTTCAAGATTTTGCTCTCAACTCATGAATCATGTTTATCCATTATTCTTTGTCTAGAGCTGTAGATTCCTTTTAGTCTTTAAGTGACCATTTTTGTTCTCACTACATCAAGCCACTTCCTTTATGTTTTCCCAATCATCAATCCATCTTGCACATGGCCAACTCATCCTGTCCCCAATCTAAGGTAGCTCCAACTTCTTTTGAAAATTTTCATTATTAATTATTTCTCATTTTCTTGTCCCATCCATATTAAATCTGCAACTCAGCCATTATTATTTTATGAACACATTCTTGGCCGCCCAGTATTTTATCCCATAAAGGACTGGTCATATACTTCTCATGTAAAACTTCCCCTTCGAATTAATCAGTACATCATTGTGCCGTACTCCAAAAGGAATCTGTCACTTCATTCATCCTACTGCACTTTTATGGGCAAAATTCTGTCATTCTCTTTCCTTAAGTTACAGTTATATAATTCTTTTGATTTGCATAATCAGGTGGAAGTAAGTCGTCTTGTAAAAATTGGTTAAATAATCTTTTAGGGTGTACAGTGTACACACTTGCGAAATTTGGACCCCTGGGGAATAGTTACCGTTATGGACCCCTGGAAGGCGATGCCATCCCTGTTTGACTATCACAGATTTGTATCTAAATTTTACTAATATATGGAAACAGGAAGACAGAACGTTCTTTTTGAACAAATATAATTAATTTAGTTCATATTCTTAGATGGCTGCATGTATGCATGATTACTCTTGTCATGAACTTGCCATTTATATTAGTGGGTCACGTAACTTCAAATACTTGCTATAGCTATACAGTAACTTGATTTTTGGTAAGAATACTCTTTGTATTCATGTTGTTTTAGCTAGTGGTTTTGTAGTTTGTATTTTCATCTCCAGTCCTTTCTCTTCTTTGTGTGCTCCTTTAAACAATTTCACTTTCTATCTGAACGAAAGAGATCTTAAATGCAGGAATTATAATGTAGGAGATCTGGAGCATGATCTTTGAATAGCAAAGAAGAATGAGATTCAATACTTGATGGGGTATGCTTGAATTGCTGAGTAATCTAATTATATGGTTACCTTTTAAACAACAATCATCATGCTTTCATGTGGTTGTTCAATTTATGCGTATAGACAGATAGAAGGTTTGTTGTTAATTTTTTTAAGTTGAAGGTCAACGAATTTTTGCAATGGGACAGCTTTGTAGATCCAATCTTTATAGAAAGCTGTAAAACTTGCACTAATATTCAAGGTTTAAAACTTTCATGTATGGATGATGTGGTGATAAACAGATGTACCGTGTAACATTAGAACTCCAAAACAGACCTGTTTTACCCTGGTTTACGTCTTTAGATATAGAATAAGGTTTATTGTGAAGGATGGTGGAAACTTGGGGTCTAAGAAAACAAGAGGCTTTATTCCTCATACAACTCAAGTATATTCGTATGGTATAACGATGGAGAGTTACTGTTTTATTTTTTTTCTGGTTAGTATACCATATATTTTTTAGTAGTTTTTCTTTCATCTAGAATCTATTCACTTTTTTTCTGGTTAAAAAACTGCATATTCCTAATTGCTGACCGGTGCTTTAAAGAACAAGGCACTACCGCTGGAGAACACCAATAAATTTTACTACGTCAATTTTTATTACTATTTTTAAAATTTTCTTTTTGGGTTGTGTTGGCGACAATCTTGGTCAGTCATCCTTTTTGATGCTTGGTTTCTTTGTTTTTTTAATTATTTTGGGTGTTTTACCATATCACATCAAACAGTATAACTGGGTTCTTATTTTTATTTATTTATTTATTCTTTCTATATTCTATATCATTTATGTGACTTTTTGGTTCTATAAAAATAATTTTCCTGAAATATGGCAATGGAGTCTACTACATGATTGATTTATTGAGTGGCGAGCATCTTATGTACTAGTTTCCCTAGTGAAATCCTTTGTAGTTGAAGACGAGGATGTTGAATTATGGCACATGCAACAGCACTGGGGTTCTGTAATCCGAAATTACGTTGAGGCATCCTTGTTGGTACCTGTATTATAACAAGTAAACCTTTTCTTACATTCTGGATATAATCGGAACCTGAAGTGTACTAGCTTAGAAATTCATTTGACAGTTTATGGAAGCTCTTACATCATGCATCTCACATTCATGTGTACCAACATAATGTTGTTAACAAATATTCTGCAGCGCTTTGTGCACAGTTTGAGATGCTACTAAAAATTTGTTGTTCTCATGAAACTAGGATTAACGTTAGGTCATCTTTACATAAATTTGATCCCTTACTGCTGAGAAGCCATAGGATCGGTGTTGGTGCAGCTTTCTGGTTTGCTTTTGGAACTTTAGTCATCTGAAAAAAAAATGTTGCGTTTGCCATCTGAACCCGGATTTAGATTCTCATCTTGTACTGCATCATCCCTTTGTTCCACTCTTCTGTTTTCTTTCAAACAAAAGTTCCATTTTGATTATTTCAAGTAAATAATTGAAATCAGGTTGAGGGTTGGATCCCAAGTAAATCAGGTTGTGAGATGTAAATACTACTCGAAATGAAGTCCTTGCTAAATAAATCTAAAACCCTTGGTGAAAGATTAAGTTGTCAATTTTGAAATATTGATCATAGGAGGACACACACACACACACACAAACATGTATCCATTTGATTTGTGCACATGAGAAGCTGGTTGGATCCACCAGTCAGCTAATTAAAATTTTAAAATTTTATATTTGGCACGCTTTTCAATCATCATCATTATCAACTCTGTAAACAAATCAATTGATTCCTTATCTTCCCATGGATCAACTCTTACTTGCTCCGTTGACATCAGTTTTGTATTCTTGTCATATTTTAATTAATTAATTAAAGAAGTTCAGAATTAATTAAACTACAAATGGACGGCCTAGATCATTCAGTACTCACGTTTACTTTCTCTTTGAATAACCCACTAAACATCCCTAAACAATGTCATGTATGTGTTCATTCACTTCATGGCCTCTCTAGCTCACCATCTTCTTTCTCTCTTCCTCTTCATGACCCTTCTCTACACCTCCATCAATGGCAATTCTGTAAAACCATCCAACAGTGCCTGCCCTTCTCTCAACTGCGGTAATGGCCTCGTCATTGGCTACCCATTTTGGGCACAAGACCACCAATCTGAATTTTGTGGATACCCAGGTTTTGGCCTCTCTTGTAGTGGCCAGCAACCATTTCTCCACCTGTCCGGCCATCTCTACAGTGTCCAAAATTTTGACTTTTCCAAAAACACCCTCACCGTGGCCTATAGTGACATAGTTAACAACAGTGTTTGTCCTGTGGCACCTCATGGTGTGACATTAAACACCTCTTCTTTCTTAAACTATACTATGGACAATAAGCTGCTATGTTTTTTCAATAATTGTACACTGTATCCACCTTCACTTCCATCTATAGATTGTTTACGATACGGTGCTAAGCGTTCTTTTGTGTTCATCATGGGAGCAATCCCGGAGTTTGATTGGCAGAGATATTGTGAGTCAGCAGTGACCATTCCGGTGATTGAAAAGGCAGTGGATCATGTTCTTCTGGCTAATGGTTATGCAGGAGCCTTGCTTGGTGGATTCAAATTAACATGGCGAATACCGGACGGTTTGTGCCGATCATGTGAGGCCACTGGTGGATTTTGTGGCTACAGAGATGGTCTCCATCAGAAGTTCATTTGCTTTTGTAGGGATGGACAACATTTCTCTAATTGTCATGACAATGGTAATTTTATCATTTATGCGTATAATTAACTTGTTCCACTAGCTTTATGCAAATTGATTTATCCTCTATTTTAACTTAGCGGAGTTTATGTATAATATACGGGTGATTGTTATACCTATAGCTAAGTTTTCATTAGTATAGATGTACATAATTATATGTGTGTGTGTGTGTGTATATATATATATATATATATACCATTTGCTCACCCTTCAATTACATATGTGATCTGTACTGATCATGTGATCGAACTGGCAGGTGGTGTCTCAATAACAATTAGACCGAATTTTATGGCCATGGGTGAGCTTCTATATCTAAAGACTGAATAAGATAATTGAGTGATGATACAGAGTGCGAGAGTCAGACACATTTGACTAAATTTATGTGAATAAGGAATGATGTTATGACATTATCATTTTTAACGTCATGATATCATTCTCCACTCGCCAAAAAAAACAATCTGATACATCTGACTTTTGCAAAAAAACACAATCAAACACAATAAGTTATTATTAGTATTCTTTTTCTTTTGCAGTTCTATGCTAAAATTTATATTTTTTTGGTTGCAGGTGCTATAATTTTTGGCAGTTTAATTATAGCGTCAACAATTTTTTACTTCACCCAGAAAAAGAAGATTGCTTCACAGAAACCAACTTTCAGTCGAATACCGAGCAGTGGAAAATGATAAATTGTTTTGCAATTTAAGGATTCAGAAGCGACTTTTTGTTTTTTGGGTGAATTGTGAAGGCAACATATTATGCTAGTTCAAGATGGTAAATTAAGAAGCTATATATGCGTTTGCCCAGGAAATAAGAGGGTATAAGAACATTTATGGTCTGGTACATTATTGAATCGCGACCAATTGAATTGTTACAAGTGAAAAATGAACCCATTTGTTCTGCTAGAAGAAAAAACTGACATAGCTTTCCAGGTTTTGTACATAAAACTCCCAAGACTTTCTCATAACTAGTTATATGAGGAGGATTGGGTTTCGTCTCACTTCCCGCCATTAAGAACTGAAATCTGGAAAATGTAGGAGGGATAGACAATCTCAATATCACAAGTTCGTCTCTTGAATGTCTAACCGTAATGGGGTGTGGCCTTCATAGAGTCGTTGTGTCTAGTTGTTACAAGGGGAAACTTGTCCCACATCGGATCCGGATGGGAAGTGACATGGGTATAAATGGGTGGGTATGCAGCACTACTTAATAGTTCGAGCTTTTGGGTAAATGGGCAAGCGCCCACCCGTTACAGTTGGTATCAGAGTCAAACCCAATCCTTGATCCGGTGCCACGCCAAGCGCCCGGCCCGGAAGGCATCCGGGTGTGCCACCCCGGGTAGGCAGGGTGGCCCAACCGCAATGAGGGCGTTGCGAATTCGGGTGGGGGAGAATGTTACAAGGGGAAACTTGTCCCACATCGGATCCGGATGGGAAGTGACATGGGTATAAATGGGTGGGTATGCAGCACTACCCAATAGTTCGAGCTTTTGGGTAAATGGGCAAGCGCCCACCCGTTACACTAGTCCACACCCTAATTGCGGTTTTCCATCTTAGTAATTATTGGTTATTTAGAATTTATGCGCCCAGCCTATGAGAAGTCCATTGGAGTGACACTAGTTGCTGCTTAAGTGCCTGCATTGGCCTCCTTGTTTGAAATATTGCCTGATCTGAAGACGCTGAGCATGAGATGCACCGATAAATACCCTCTTGATTATGAAGTGATATTGCCATTCAACACAACTTCTTTGCTTTTCTTCCTGTCTGCCTCTAAAGATCAACGTAAGTTTGATATACAGTATTGGGAGTCTCATGATATTGCATTTATTCATCAATTGAACGAAGCGAATATTGAGAAAAATAATTGGGGATTTGAAGTTGGATTGAAAAAATATTTAATCAAGCACGCAAAAGCACTGGACAAGATGATCGTCACTTTTTCATGCGATATTGATATTAGTAGATCAAGATAAATGCGCTTTTTCATACTATATTGATATTAGTAGATCACGACAAATGCGCGGAAAGTTATCATGAGACTTTTCCTAATGCAACATTAGATTTTGTGTTGAAATGAAGGTGTTACAAAATTATGTTCGTCTTTAGTACTTATATTTTCATAAAGTTATAATTTCAAAATATTATGAGAACTTAAGTTTACACTTTGTATTGAGAAGACTGCGAACTAAATTTGGAATCATGTTATTAATACCTGATAGAACATATATATTAGCTGTTTAATCATGCTACAATGCTGGTCTGATATATTATTTTAGGTGTCTAAATATTAGAGGCTACGTCAGAGAAGATCTAAGTCACACAATTTTTATAAAATGTCGTTCTTATAGTTCGAGTATGCTTCTGTTGCTCTCATTTCCCATTCCATACCATATGGTTTAGATTTTGACACATTTACACTCTCACTGTAGCTCTTATTTCATGAAACTTATCCTAAGTACTTTATGTGTCTCGGGAGAGGACCAAGTAAATCCTTCCAGCAGACCTTATACTATCTGCAAATCTGCAATTCATTCTAGCAAATTCTCAATTCTCAATTTTTGTTTTTTATGCCCAAAAAAAAAAAAAAAAAAAAATTGAAAATTTAACCAAAAAGAATTCTAGATTGAAGAATGATTACCCCATATCAGAAAAACACTACCAAAGGTTACCTACATTACATTCCAAATTTTCCTGTTGGGCTGGGCAAGAGAGAGAAAACACACACCTGCACAAAATATATAAAAAATAAATTAATAAAAAATAAAAATAAAAGAAGGTTATATTCAGGATGTGCGACATTTGGGCCAGCCCAAGAAAAGGAGGACATATTTGTACCGAAAATCCGACTAACTTCAGAGTTTCGAACCTTAAAGAAAGTTAGGAGTGACAATATTTGACATGACACGCTAACACGACATGAACACGACACGAAATAAGTGGGTTTGGGTTTGGACTAATCGTGTTCGTATCATAATCGTGTCAACACGGATTGACCCGCTAATTAAACATGTCGTGTTTGTGTTTGACCCTGTAAACACGATTATGACACGATTAACCCGATTAACTAAACGTGTCAGATAAACGTGTAGTATTCGTGTAAAAAATGATCCATTTAGCAAAACGTGTAGAATAAATATGTCGTATTAGTGTCAAAAATGACTTAAATGTATCTTTTCGTGTCGTGTCAAGTTTTGACCTATTTATTAAACAGGTTATGCGTGTCGTGTCGTGTTACACGTATAATAATCGTGTTGTGTTCGTGTCAAGGGTCTTAGACACAATTAATAATCATGTCGTGTTTGTGTCAATCCTAATCGTGCCCGTGTCGTAATCGTGTTGACACGAACGCAACACGCCAAAACGAATTGCCCCCCCTAAAAAAAGGTTAATTTTAATAAGGCTTATCATAATATACAAAATGTACAAGTTTGGCCTATTGTTCGAAAAACTTTCTTACTTTTATTTTTAATTTGTGCAAATAATGAAATAAGAACAAATCATAATATTGACAGTAAAATTATTTAATTAACCTTACTTTATGATTAACAAAAAAAAGAAAAGAAAAAAAAAAGGCAACCAATGGCTAATTCTGTGTAGTGCATGTATATACTGATATATGTATCATCTGTGTATATAAATTTTTAATGATTAACATTTATATGGTTTGATGATTTCACCTTCGTTTTTGGTGAGCTTAGTCAAATAAAGTTTATTTTTAGACAAGAAGAGAGCAGGAGCATTAGAAGGTAAATGAGCAAAACTTATCAAATCGACTCGACAACAGATTTATAAGAACAATAAATTATATTGGAATTCAAACCCATCTCATTGAATTTCAATTTGTCCGATTTGATTATCTTGTATTAATAAATGTTGAATTAACTTTTTTTATTAAAAAAATATTACTCATTATTCATATTTTTCATGTTTTACAAGCACGGATTTTAGAATGAGGAGAAAAGAGGTAAAATGGCAAAAATGTGAGAAATTATGGCTGAAAAGAATAAGAGTGTATTTATTGCTAAAGAAGAATACCAGAACCATTGTAGAAGAGGTCTTGAGTTCTAGACTTAGTTATAGCACAATTGTTTTATTTTTATACATATGCTCCATAAAATCAACAAATATCATTTCAAATTAAAAAACAAGATTTTATGTATTTTTTTTATATTTATTTTCAAATTCTTTTATTTTTCCCTCCTAATTCATCCCTTCTAAACTCTATAAATCTTAAATAGGGGCATATGTAGAGGAGGTAGGGGGTTAGAAAATAGAGAGAGTTATAGATTTTATATTGTTTTGCAATTTTTTTTTTTTTTTTTTGTTCTTGTAGTTTCTTTTTCTCATCAATGAAAAGTTATAATATTTACGTGGTTTATTTTCTTGTTAATATGTTAGTTTATTTTTCTTCATCTTTAGTTCATGAGTTCTAGACTTAATTGCAGCACAATTGTTTTCTTTTTATACACATCGCTCCATAAAATCAACAAATATCATTTTAAATTGGAAAGCAAGATTTTATGTATATATATATATATATATTTTTGAAAATAGAGAGAGTTATATATAGATTTTATATTGTCTTGCATTTTTTTTTTTTCCTTGTAGTTTCTTTTTCTCATCAATGAAAAGTTATAGTATTTTCGTGGTTTATTTTCTTGATAATATGTTAGTTTAAACACCTCAGCTCGAGAGAAATATTAAGCCACCATGATTGACATGAAATTGAATTTCTTTCATGTCTTGTTTTAATTTCTCTTTAGAACATACCTTTTATTCTTCTATTTTGTGTTTTTAAATTTGATAAAAAAAAAATTAGAAGAAGGATTCGTGTTTTGCCAAATAATGGTCATTTGGATAATGCCTACTTCTATTTACTAAAGATATACCTGATTAAATAAAAAAAGGTTCTCTCGTATCTAAGAGAATATTATTTAACTCTATATTTTCTTCATCTTTAGTTAGTAATTGGATTCATGAAGTGAATTGATTATAAGAGGAATATTGACAAGAATAACAAAAAATTTGTTTATATGGATCCGTGGTTGTGGATTCTCATCCCTCGAGACTTTATCTATTATTTGATCAAAAATTGTTTAATCTTATTTTTATTTGTTTTATTCAATTTCATTATTAAAAAATTTATGAAATTGTTTTAAAATATTCTTTTTCCTCCAATAGATTTTGGTTTTGATTTTGGGTTCAGAATCTAAATTGAAAGTGGTTCGACCTTACTTATTCTACACGAAGTGTAAAGTAAAGTAACGACAAAATTCTAGAAATCTACACTTGTCATATATATATATATATGTGTGTGTGTGTGTGTGTGTGTGTGTGTGAAAAGACCATGGGTAGGCAGAGTGAGAGTGGAAAAATGAAGTCGCAAAAAAAAGGGTAGTTTTGGATTTTTTTTAAAAAATGACATCATAGGTCCAGAAATTGTTAATGGGGTTAGCTAATATTTTTTTAGGTGGGCTGATTGTAGTAATATATATATATATATTTGAACTGGACTAAAATTGACTATAGTAAAAAAAATAATATATATATTTTTTTTGGGGTGGTCTTGAGCCCATCCGAGTCCGCCCCTAGATCCATCCGAGACAATTTGCTCAAAATATAGATAATATTGGGATTATACGCACTTTTTTTTCTATTAGGAGTATTTTTTTTGCTCATTCTTTTGTATAGCAAGGGATTATTTTACACTTAACCCATTAAAAATAAAAAAAATAAAAAAAAAAAAGAAAAAAAGAAAAAAGGGTTAGTGTTGCTATAGCAAATGTGGAGATATAGTCTTTTGCTTAACCTTCAAGAATGCGTACCACAC